TATCATGCAAGTTGTATGATAATTACTTGCGTGAGGCCCTATTTCCAAACCATGTTTCCTCTCCAAAATCATTATTACCCTAAACAAGTTGTTGTAACTTTACTTGTATGGTTTGGGGGATGTAAGTGTCACCTTGTTGTATTCGTAGCTGTGACAGTATTTGTGACTTAGAGGAACACTGCCCAAGACCATTCAATAAACCTGTCAGCTGAGCTGATCCTGTCACATGTCTGACAGCCATGGCTAATATATAGTGTTTGGATATGAGCCATCTCTCCTTCATTGAGAGCTTTAGAGTATCTTGGCAAGTTGATACAATCGTCTCAGCCCTCTCTTAGTGAACATTCGGTCTTTCATTCAGGGTACCCCCAGGGTTCTCCAAATTACATTTTAGACTTTTTAAGATTTTTTAAATACCACTTAAAATGAAGTTTAATGCCAACATTACATCCATACTGGCAAAAGTATGACGAACATAGCATAAAATCAGTATGGATTTCAAGCTTTAGAAAATAATTTGCAAATATTTGGCAAGCAGAATAAAATCTCTCGTGACTCCCAACCTTATGGAAACAGTGGAATATTGATACAAAATCGGCAGAAACTGGAGACCTTCTACGAAATGACTTTAGTTTGAACCAAGGCATTTCAGAAATTCATTAGGATGATAAGACAGTCTGGACTGCATGTGCTGAGTCTGGACACATTTTTACTAAATACTCAATTCAGTTATTTGTTTACTTCTGGGTTTAATAAAAAAAAAACAATTTAGTTCTTTATTAGTGATGTGTGTGGTCCATAAAATACACCACTATTTAACTGATGCCATATAATTACAATGAAATCGATACCTATACGCAGTGATTTATTGACATTTATCAAGTATGTAAAATGTGTAAATGTCTTTAATAGCTTGTGTCTGAAACGGAGTTGAGATTTAGCCTATCAAATGTTTACAGGAATTGAAATTTGTTTCTCAGAATGGTGGAGAAATTGAATTCACAAACAAATAAATCCATCGGTTCTTCTGCAGTGTGACCATACATGATCAAGTTAGGAAAAGCGATAGAATAACATAGATTTTTTTCACTCAGATCTATTCAAATTTGTTGGCGAGAGTTAAAGACTAAGTTTTTCGATGGCTCCCTTGCTCCCTTGATGACCCGCTGTCTAAAGTTGAAAGTTCATGAAACTGAGGAGGGATGGAACAAGTGAGTGAGCGAGGAGGGCAGCATGGAAGTTGTATTGGGACACACTTGCATTCTCAATGATGTACCATGCTCCACCTGTATGTATGAAGTGGTCACTGAAGTATAAATTTTTATGCCGCATCATGTGTGGGCGTCACCAAAGGTGGATTTCTCTTCCGCAAAGGGTACTGAGAGAGTAGTGAGAGAGAGTGGTGAGAGAGAGTGGTGAGAGAGAGTGGTGCAAATAAGGGTTTTGGAATACGGGCCCATATTTGCACCACCCTCCCTTGGTACCTTTCCTTCGCCCCAGAAGTTTTTCTGAATTCCAGATGTTTCACATTGCTGCAGATTCTCCTTCACCCTCTTCCGGTTACATTTTTGAGTGACATATTTCTCATATCTGCGTATTATGCACTGCCTAGGAAGCAGTTCTGCTCTCTTTAAGTTACCCAGAACCTCCGTTGTGGTTGAGCGCAGAACTCTAACCTTTGGTGGATTATTGTACCTGTACACTGAGTACGTACTTCCTCATCAAATACATTGTAATGGGAAACAAAATGAAGGGGGAGGGGGTGTTTTGGGGGGAGATGGAGAGAGAAATATGTGATGACTGCTTGGACTGTGGTAGGAATGATTCCAAAATGATAGCTTGTTTACAACTCTCTTAATCTGGTTCCCCAGGTAACCCCAGGTGCTCAGCCCTGCTGTCAAGCATATTGTATGATTCTTATGTTGTTGTTATTGTGTCTATATGAAATATTACTGGTGGTATTAACTGTAAAAGGTTTTTGCTGTAACCCTGTTATTGACCGTGCGGCGGGGTATTTGTATGCACATGCGTGGGACTCGGGAATTCGTGGTGAACACCGGATAATAGGGCTTGCCCGAAAGCCACTGTGTAAGTCGAACCCTGGATATGCCCTTTGTCGTACAACTTGCTACATGCATGCAATACTCCATATTTTCCCCTTATGCATCCAGGCATGCTAGCTACGTTTTACACACGAGTTCATGCAAATTAGATGCCCGACATCAAATGAGATGGATGAAGTAGTTTGTTTGAGCATTCTTCTGAAGAGATAAAGTTATACATTAGAAGCTCATAAAGTAGTTATATGATGTGAATGTTTGGATGAGTGAGGCATAAGGTGTTGTGCAGTATAAAACCTTTTATATGCGAAATGCAAAATGAGTGCTGAGGAGTATCTGCCCCCCCCCCCCACCCCTGGATCAGGCCTGGCTGAGATTTAAAAAAAACCCCAGTGGAGGCAGATTTCAGGTGATGAGCTGGGAGGAGCCAAACTAAAGAAAAATAACACACACAAAATCACACAGTGTAGTTGTGCAATTAAGTCTTTTGGGAAATGTGAGGATTAGAGTATGTGCCAGTCCCATGTATTGTGCAATTGCCCCATATTGAAAACTAAATTGTGCTAACAATGCAGAGCTCGTGAGTTTAAATACCAGGGAGCATAAATTGTAGCCCTTCCCTATACCGTAAGTTGTTTTTGATAAACATGCCGGTTAATGGAAAATTAGTTAAATGTACACTGAGCGTATGGAAAAAAAAACAACCGTCAATGGACCTGCCAGGGCTGTACGTAACATTAATGTGTTAAAGTTCATACTGTTACGTCACGGAAAATGTTGGTTGTAGTGCAAAAGAGAAATAAATATAATATCAATCAATTAACGAATACAAGAGATTATAGGTAGGATATATATTAAAAAGTGACAATTGAAACATGCATATATAAACAGTGCAAATTGATATTATGGTTATTGTGATAATTGATTGAATCAACACATTGACACTGCAAAGCTATTCACACTCGGACGTGCCATCATCACCCACCCTCACTCTTAGACTGGGGAGCCCGTTTCAGTCCTGGTAGGAGACCAACATGTAAGTCCCAAGAAAGTGCCGGCCGATGCGCGCTCTATCCCACGGCTGAGCTCCGGTCAGTTTCGAGATCTCCCCCTTCCTTTATACTACATTTTGGGCATTACATGTGGGCAGAGGACGAGCTGGCCAGGCTCACCCCTCCCCTCAGGCAATGCGTTCTCAATTTTCCAATTTTGTCTGAGTAATGCCGCCTGCAGTTTCAATCGGAAATGATAAAACAAGTTTCTATAAGCAACATATCCCCCCTCCTCCTAAGGATGGGAGTAATTGTTCTACACGCACTGACACACTGGGTGCAGGTCCCAAAATAATTAGACGAGTATCCTTGAGCAATGCTTTCCCTTCCCATGAAGATAAGGCAGGTGTCTCATACACTGACCAGTGATGTACAGAACATATTGAGCAACACCTTTCCCTGTCCTCAGCAAGCCCCTCCAGAACCCAGGGAAACATGGTAAGCATCCTTGAATAGGGTAAGCATCCCAGAACGAGGATTCTTTCACATAAGATAAGGATACTCTGAAACCAGTCATTTGTGAGAAACAAGTTATATAAGTGATCAGAAAGAGAGGAAAAAAACCATGCTTATGTGGTTTTATCCTTAATACAATAATATTATAGGTGAATCATGGACAACGTATCTGAATCTCAGGATGATCAGTCCATACACGATCAGAATCAATCAATACTTCAATCACCTCATAAGTATGACGGTAACAGGAGGACAATGTTTAATTCTAGGCAACGTAGTCGTCCGTAAGTGAGTCCTAATACAAGCATGTTACATATGATTAAACTGTACTCATGTGCTGTGAGTGGTATGCCCTGTGATGGAGTGGGATCCCAGTGTGCACTGTCTCACATGATTCCTGCTCTGTTGTAACTTGCACTGGATGAAAAGTTGAATAAAATCATTCCAACAAGGCATCTAGATTGAAGACCAGTTATGTTAGGCAAGTAAATTTTTTGTATAGCTGACTGCAAGTGAGCCTGACGTTACTGCCTATGTCTTCATACTGTATTTCTCTCACATCTTAGTATCAGCATTTATTACTGAGCCACTGCAATGCTTGTACCAATGCTTGTGTGCCTCAGTAAGGCTTCCCATATGGATTCACAAATACAGAGACCGTACAGACTTGCTAATGTAATGCAGTGTTACTCTCCTACCTTCCAGCACCATTAATCCATGACACATAGAAAGGGCATGAAACAGCCGTTTGACCTTTGACCTCAGAGTTTTTTTTACTCATACCTACCACATTAGTGCTTCTAACTTCTTTTTTGGTTTCAGACACTATTCACCATGTAGACTACTAATGCTATACCATGAACGGGTCTGATGCCTAAGGATGACAGTTTTTTTGTTAAATGATTTGAGGCATCTAGGTTGGCTGCCATATTTTAGTTAAATTAAGTACCTATTAAAGCACCTTAGTTACAACAGACCCCATGTGTTAGAATAATATAATTATCTATAAAACTACAAAACTTGGCCGTATAATTAATGGAATTAATTCAGCAAAGTAACTAACCTCCATTAAAATATCTACACTCACTGAAATCATCAAGGAAGCCAGATTTACAGTATACATATAAGAACATAAGAAATTTACAAATGAGAGGAGGCCATTCAGCCCATCAAGCACGTTTGGGGAGAACTTAACTAATAGCTCAGAGTTGTTAAAATCTTATCTAACTCTGATTTAAAGGAACCCAAGGTTTTAGCTTGCGCTACACTAACAGGAAGACTATTCCATACTCTAACTATATGCTGTGTAAAGAAGTGCTTTCTCAAATTCATTTTAAAATATTCTCCACTATCTAGTGGCTAATATTTAATAGCATAAAAACTGTGTTGTTGTGTATGTGTTAGACATTTTAAAAAGGAAGCCAACATTTGGTTAAATTTACCATTAATATTGTTTTTATTAAAAAAAAATCACATTATGATAATCATTATTTACATACAGTATTTTAACACAATGGAAACAGATACATGACATGCAGCATGTAAATCTTTCATTCTGTTATGCAGAAGATAACATGCCTGAAGAAATGACAGCAAGATTATGAACTATAGTACAGTAGCTTATTATCAGGTGTGTTAAGAGACTGTTTATTGTCGTAACGTCATTCAGCCGTACAAATGATGGCCTGAATGCAAACTCAACAGCAGTTCCTGGTTAATAATTTAGGCCTCATCGCGGGAGGATGTGCCGATATGCTTGGCGTGGGTCGAGAATGCTGAGTGCTGTTATTTATGCTCCGCGCGCTGCCAAGAAATGGGGAGAGAGAAAAAAAAAAGATTAAGATTTAATGGTAGAATTCTGGAAACAGGAAATTATACTGCAGTCAAAGGGCAGAGATTACTGAGTCAGTAAAGCCGCAATAAATCACAGAGAAATCCCCTAATATGTCAGCAAGATAAAGAATTAAACGTTATATTTAATAACATTAAATGCACTGGATTTTAAACTAATAATGAGCACGTGCCCTTTGAAAACACTGGCATTAAACATATACACTAAAAATATATCTTACCAGTTCTCTTGGATTTACCATTCTTCTTCTGCAGCTTTTTGATGAGTTTTTCTACCCAGTGGCTTTCGTGTGCTGGGGGTGCACACAGTTTGAATCCCCTTTTAGTGGTGAATCTGTGAATATAAGTTGTTCATATTTAGTAATAGTCAGTATATTGTATGTTGAAATTCCACTGTGGTGGGAACCTTGGTTTCTGCTGTTTTTGTATTTGGTTTTGAGTGTGAATCTGTGTTCAATGATCATTTTTCCAGGCTTTAACCAATGAACAATTGAATATTTGGGTATGGTTAATATCCTTATATGCCTCATACAGTGGGGAATCATTCGATAATCTGCAGGTATTATCTAGGAAAATATAAGTAATGATATAAAATCATCTCATACTTACACAGTTGCAGAGATCATGCAACCTCCCTCGACTGTCTGTATCTTGAAGGATTTCACTATTCGGTTTGGAATTTCTTTGTTTTTAGTGGTCAGACAACAGTCCACTGCTGCATCGGCGTTTGCTGTTGAGGGATTCAGTGCAGAATTAGTGCCTTTATCTTATTTACATGCGTATGTTAGAATAGCCATCCATTCATTTTTCTAACCATTAATCAGTGTAGGGCATGGATAGTCGAGTGGTTCATCACCAAGCAATTAAATCATTTTGAGATGCAGAAATCAGATAAAATGTAAAATTTTGTTGACATAATGTCCAACGAAAAAGTCTTACTTTATATTTTGCCAGAGTGAGACTTGGAATAAATTTCTTAATTTGACAGCATTTCTAAGAACGCTAACCTAAATGCAAAGACTGCCAAGACTGATAACAGAAAAGATTGCAGTTCTGGATACATCAGAAGTATACAGATATAATTCTATAAATTGGTAATGGCATAATGCTTAACTGATTTCTTACCTTCTGAGTAGCTGCAGAGAACTGAGGCTAGGCAAAGGAGAGCAATCAGTCGGAATGCCATGGTTACAAAATTCTTGGTATTCTGTCTGATGAATAGTGTGCCGGTCTCAGGACTTGCTCATCCAAAGTAACGAGGCTCAGGTGTATATATACTGACACAGCAGCAAGATTTCACTTTCATTTGGCCCGAGTCCTCGCTGTCACCGCCTACTCCAGTAACTAACGTGACTTAAAAAAAACAAAAAAAAAAACACACCTGTCATCAGGTTTCATGGATTACTTTGAAATAAATAAACCATCAACAAAATAAATAATTAAAGATGTAAGACTGATTTCGTTTGTTTAGCTATGAAAATTAATATCAGAGAAACACTGAAATATCCCAGTTAAAGTTTAATTCTCCTTTTATATTTCAGTCTACCTCTGAAATGAACATAAATTGCTCCAATAAAGTATCCAATAATATGAATGGATACATTTAAGAGCCAAGTGCATTGCTGTTGTTGCGGTAAAGTTCAATTTCTTTTTCATGGATAAATTTGTCCTCATTAATGCACCAAAGTTAATCAGTGTAGTTAATGATGAAAAATAATGTTCATCAAATGTTGTCTATATGCTCAGAGGGCTAAGCCTCTGTGCTTGCGATTGGAAGGTTGTTTTTTCAAGGCCCGGCCTCTGCAGAATACCCACATGTCCCTGGGCCCCTGAGTAGGGGTCCTCCAGGCATGTAGTGTACTGCCTGACCTTGTGATCCCCTCCCTTATTCTCACCTGTATGTGTGTGTATTTCATGGAGAGATGGGGTAGGTGAAATGAGAATTTCCTTATGGGGATTAATAAAGTTACTCTATTCTATTCTATTCTATTCTATTCTATTCTATTGTCATAGTAAAAAATATGGGATACTTTGTTGCTTGAAATGCAGAAATATACCTATCCCAGAATTTAGGGTTTGGGTGTAAAAGTTTGTTGGCACACAAAAATACATATGTTAAGGGGACATTCTTATGTTGAAGGCGATTATTTATTTAAATTTATGCTATGAAATGCTTTGGCACAATGCATAGATTCATTGCAAGTATGCACAGAAGGACAAAAAGTGAACAGAATATTTTTGTTATGAAAAAGTTAATAATTTTTTATTATGGAGAGGATTATAGTGATAGTACTGTTGCTGGTGAAGACCTTCAGCCTTCACCAGGGATGGAAAGCAAATGATTACAGGGCTTTTTAAGCAGAGAACCGGTTCAGGGAAAATTAGGTCATGGGAGTGGGAGCAGGGCTGGGAATTTTGTGCTCTGTTGATCCTTGGGCTGGGTGCTTGCATGTTAGGGTGCATGGGTTTTGTGTGTGTCTGTGTTTGTGTGTTTGTGCATGCACATATATATGTGCACGTGTGCGTGTGTATTTCATGCATGTTTGCTTTCACCAGTGCATGCACACATGCATGCTGTGTGTCCTGAGAAGCTCTTTGACATGACATCCTTCAAACTGATATGTTAATTGCACAATGTTTGTCCCCTTGCCTAACCTGCTTGTCGGTTCTCAAGTTTATCAAAGCAAAATCCAGGTTTCCAGTAAGAATCCAAAGCTTTTTTTATGTGAAGGATCATTATGGGATTGTTATATATTAGGTTAATTCTGTTTTTCTCTGAGACAAACCACTGTGCTAAATCATTTTCAAAAGAACATCAGACTATAGCCAAAAATAATACTGGGTGACCTGATATCAGTGGATGAATGGAAAGCTCAGGACTGATTCATATGGGAACTAAATATTTATTATTTCCAGCTAATTTTGTATCAGATTGCGCTTATTGTTCTGGTTAAGAAATGCATCATCTTTTGAAGAAGGCTTATAGTTGGAAAACATGCAAATATTGAAAATTGCATTACAAACAATATTAATTTTGCTTAATCTATTAAATAAAAAACCTCTTGTGATACATGTGCATAAAAGGAGGCGGGGCTATTTACTATTTGGAACAAAAGAAATGCATGTTCACAAAAAGCAGCATGTCAGACTTTATCCAGAAGTACCAGGCAGTCCATAAGTACATAAATGAGTACCAAGAGTAACCTACTTGATCCTTTTTACTGATAGAATTTATAGATTTCAGCTTGACATATTGAGGGATTATTTGGTGTATCTGTAGTCAGAGATGTCTGAAAGGAAATTGATGCCAATTATTCTGGATTAAAGGATACATTGCACTATTTGAATTGAGTCGCATTGTAATTCCATCTATTACATTTTCTAACAGCTTATCCTCATCAGGGTCACAGATCTATTGTAATTCTATCTTCAAAATAATCATTTACATCTGTACTTGTCAAGTTAAATTAGACCGTGTGGAATCTGTAGGCTAATTTGTCAATTTTGTTCTTTATTCCAAAGGTGAGTTATTGTTCCTACATATTTCTTTTAATGCTAATAATTTATGTATTTTGAACTCCAGTTTGTCTGTGCCCATTTCTTTGAACGACTTCAGTATCTCCAGGTTCTTCTGCCTAGACAAAAATACTCTTCACAATTTTTTTAAACCAACAATATAAATTATATCATAAAATGCGCTCTTGCATATATTTCATAATTGATATATTGTATAACTTAATTGTAGCTTTGCATCACAGTATGTGTATATATATGTACACACACACACACACATATATATATAGAATTAGTCCATTTTTTTTTTTACAAATCATACTTTTCTCAGTGAAAATCTATGGTTCCACGTGTTCATTCATTGTCCTTTTCTGCCCCCTTTACACTTTGCTCACGTGGAAGCCGCCTTGCCTTAACTCTGTCACAGCCCTCATTTCTACCTGCTGCAATGCAATATTGGGAAATTGCCAGCCTTTTGGACAAGACTCCAGACTCACCTGATAATCTCATTTTTTATTATCAGTGTTATGCAATACTTTCTGGCAAGCAATATCTGCTTCTGAGAATGATTCAAAGAAAGGGGAGTATCTTTTTGAGAAGAAGTCCTTTTGCCTGCCAAGTATAACACTGTGGACCCACTGGCAGTCTCGGCTTATTTATAAGAGAATATAGTCTCAGGAATAAATTGCCCAGGGAGATGGAACACTTCACACTGTAATTTGCAAATTCAAATTTACTATGTCCTTTATTGTAACTATCCTCATGCTCATGTTTTTTTTTTTTTTTCGTACCTCTGAAATATACTTTTCAAACACATTTTCTTGTTAAAATTCTAATATTCTTATTTTCCGAATTCACTGTAGAATTCATCCAGTAATTTGTCATCCATCCACGTTTGCTCTTGATGGTGAAATATAACCCTCTGTATATACAACTTTTGGCAATAACCTTATCATTTCACAAGGGTGCCTTGATTTAAAAAAGTTACCAGGTTATGGTGTAAGTTTTTGCGTGTTTAACAGTATGCATTCAGCACAGGGGTCTGGGTATGGTAGTTGTATTACATTTAAATATTCAGCATCTGTAATGAATTGCAGTATTTATAACCTATATAACTGTTAATCCAAACCCTACCATATGTCATGCTTGAAAGAAAAAATACATATAACATAGAAGGTATATACTATATATACTGTATAATATTATTGTAATGCTGGGTTGCCGAGCCAAGCTGCTGAATTAACTTAACTGTGGCCCGGAGCTCATCGAGTTTATTCTCCAGTGACTGGACGTTGGCCAGTAAGATGCTGGGAAGTGGTGGACGTTGTGGTCGTTCCCTCAGTCTTAGTCGAACTCCGGCGCGTTTTCCCCAGTGCTTCTTTGTTCGTCGTCTGCGTCCTTCTCCATTGTTGTGTTCAGCAGCGCGAATGATCCCGGCCGGCCACAGTGGACTGACTGATATCTCTGCTAAAAAGTGAGTGAGCTGTGATCCGATGTTCAGAAGGGTCTCGCTGTCCTAGGTTATTAGAGCAGATGTCGTGTGTAAAAAGGAAACAATCAAAAGAAGGTAGAAGATAAGATAAGCGCAGAGCCTGATCGGAGTGATCAGGAAGGTGTCTTGGAAGTCTCTCCTGCTGTCCTAGTGTTTCATTCTTCTTTCTTTCTTCTTCCCACTTTCTTCTACTCAGCTGCTGTAGAGAGCATACTGACCATGAGCATTACATCATGGTGTTCAGGACCGGAAAGCCCTGCAGAGAGTGGGTAGAGCAACTGAACACTGCACCAGATCTGCCTTGCCCTCCCTACAAGACATTTACACCAGCCGCTGTAGGACCAGAGCAACAAAAATCTCCAAGGATCCATCCCAGCCAGTTAGCTCTGTCTTAATTGTATGTACATTTCTCAGGTCTCTTGCACATTGCACTTATATCGCACAGCACAATCACTTTGACCATGTCACTTATGTATATATTATGTACAGCTGAATATATTTCATATATTTTTTTTAATTTTATATTGGTATCTTTATATTTTATTATTCTCTTATTATGCACAGCTGCTCGGAATCACCAGGGCTACATTTCACTACATGTCGTGTGTGTACAATTGTGTATGTGATGAAAAAACCTCTTGAATCTTCAATCTCGAAAGTAATGACACAGTTCCAGGTTGAACCACAAGGTGGCGTTTATTGCACCCTACCAGTCATACTCGTGCTGCAGAGTCACTGGACAAACGGGATAAGCTGTGATAAGCAGTTGGAAGAAAGATGTTCTCCTTGCTGCACAAGGTCTCCTCTGGAGCAACAGGTTTCCTCCCGTAGTTCAAAAACGTGCAGGTATGTTTCTCAAATCAGTATCTCAAAATCATCCATTGTGTATGATGTGCAATGGACTGGAATCCAGTGCAGGGTATTCCCCTGTCATGTGCCATCTGGGACAGATAAGAGGTTGGAAAATGCACACATTGATTTCAAGTATACATAACACTTATTTGAGAAGGCTTCTAGGATTGTTGTTCTATATCCTCCCCATTCATAAAACAGAACTGGAACAATATACCTTTTGTAGCATGGGGGTATGGAGGCCCAAATGCACATGGACCCTGATCTCAGATGGCCCCTCACTACACCAAATCCAGCAAACATGGTAACTTCCTTCCCCAACAGAGGAACAGCAGCCATTCCAAAGGTCCAAGGGGCTGGCCTTCTAGCACAGTGCTTCCCAATCCAGTGCTCGGGGAACCACAGACAGTCCATGTTTTTGC